AAAACATCAGATTTTGAAATCCGTGGTTCATGCGATAAAGGTACATCCGGTGAAGATCTCCTCCAAATTTCAAGTCAATCGGTCGATATCTCGTCAGTCAGTTCAAAAAATATGGATTTGAGAGAAACACATTTGAAGTTTCTGTTATTCGTTGTACAAAAATATTCATACTTACAATAAATCGAGCAGTACAAAAAATAAAATATTATAAAATAACAATAATATAAAAATAAATAATAATATAAAATAAAATATTTTTTGAGAAAAGCACATTTGAAGTTTTTGCTGCCCGTTGTATAAAAATATTCGTACTTACAATGAATCGAGCAGTACAAAAAATGAAATATTATAAAATAATAGTAATATAAAAATAAATAATAATATTATAAATATTTTTTAGAAAAGCACATTTGAAGTTTCTGTTGCCCGTTGTACAAAAATATTCATACTTACGTTGCGAGCAGTACACCGTTTCCTTCTATAACTTTGCTAATTTTACGAATCCAAACAAATTCTTTTATATAGACATTTTCGAAGACATGTACTTTGAGAAAATGTAAAAAAAAATTGACTTTTTGAAAGACAGATTACCAGAATACTCCCTTACGTGTTTAATAATCGTTAATGGCGTAGATCCTCCTGATAACATGTAGGTTGCATATTCTATAAGTTAATTACGCGGCTTGGCATTAACGGAGGATCAATTAACTAGCTATGCGTACTTATTAGTACACACACGTGTTGCTCACATCATTTCTCTTCAATTGTTCGATAATCGAAAGTCTACTATAAAGATCAGCTCGTAGACCTCATTTGTGAACCGAATCCGTGTTAAATCACAAAAGAAAGCCATGCAAAGAACGAGAGAGTGTTCCCAAGTAAGCAAATTGTCACGCGTACCTACACATGTATTCATATATACACACACACACGCGCGAAGTTGTCTCGTCCTCGATGAAAAAATACCATTCAGCATAAATTTCGCAAGGAATGGCATGCATCTCTCAGTTCGGTGGGTTCGCGCGTAAAGGAGAATACCTTTATACGTATATATTGTAAGTTAAGGCGCGCGCGCGCGCATGCGTGCAACGCCCGTGCGTTTCTTAGCGCGCTGCTCGTGTGAATGGGGCGAGTATGAAGTTTATTATAATGGCGTTATGTGCATTATACCACGTTGCTCGTTAGGGACGTATGCACGGTATGAGGAAACGGAACGGCAGTACACCGTGCTGGAAACTATGTACGGCTCTGGCTCTCGGAGGTCGAAAAAATTGCCCGGTGGCTATCTCTCCCTCCACACACACACACACACACACATACACCTACACGGGGATTTCTGTACAATGTGGTCGCCGAGATCGGCCAGTGTTCCGCCGATACCGAGCGAGATACCGTCCTTATAATTAAGAAATTTATCTCAGCTATTCGAAATAAGAAGGCGACCGCGCACCTCCGTTGCAATTAACGTCCGACGTTCTTGGTCGACATTTTGTAACTAGTTTGCTAGGCGAGTCAATCCATATAATCGACGGTAGTAGCGTCGTTGTATCATGGACGACTGTAATAATTTTCGCGTTGGATTACAAACACTTGGATTGCAATGGCATTTCATTCTATACTTTTATACTTGTTCGTTGAGATAATGAAATAAAATTAATGGAAAGAGAAATTGAAAATTCCAAATTGTTATGATTTTCAGCGTCCAATGGTACCGCTTGGGCACAACGATCGGCAATATTACTAATTACATAATGCAGCGAGATTTTCAGCGGTTAAGAATGAATTGTAACAAATATGAATTATAATCATTGATTCACATTCATTATAGTACTTCTATTTTACTCGTTTCTTTATACAGTAGAAATTGTGCTTCGCAATGTTCGTGATGAAACTTGCTATCATAGCCGATTATCAGCTTTAATTTATAACTCTTTGAAAGATAGACGAATGTTTGAAGAATTTTTTAAAAGTTAAATTAGATTTTCTTACTTTGGCACTTTGCTGAAAATACCGAACGTATATACTTTCCCGATCTTTTCACTTCCTCTCCTTGTTCCCGTAACGTGTCGCTGCTTTCGTTCGATAACGGTAGTCTTTCGTTCCTGTTCGACGTATTCGGCGCACCGGGCTCCAAATTGAAATAATTAAAACGCACTGGCTGGCTCGGCTGCTGCTGGTTGCAGGTAATGGTAATTAAAATGGAACGGTAGTGCGCGAACGGGAACATAATACGTACGGAACGCGAATTCGCGTGTAATCCATCATTCGTGCATTCCGTATTCTACGTGGATGGTGTACGTGCTGAGAGAAAGACTCGTTTCGTCGGTGGAATGCGCGGCATTATAATGAGAACGCGCTGCAACCGTGTCTCGATTATTTCGTTTTAATTACAGGGAACATTAGACAAGTCGCATCCGCGGCGTTGCACGCTCCTCTGAGATCTGTGAAGAAAAGAAAAGAAAAGAAAAGAAAAAAAAAGAAGAAAGAAAGAAAGAAAGAAAGAAAGAAGTATCGCGACTCTATTGTTCACCAACCATGTTACCATATGCAACTGCGTAATTGTTCGTGCCTCTCATAATTATTCGAATTTACATTCAACGGAGACTTCGTTTCGTTATTCTTTGATCATGTTACAAAGGTAAATAAATGGCCGTCGCATTCTCGCAGGCAGCGTGCACGATCATTAGATCTTTAATTAACAGCAGTTTAATTGTGTAAAGATCTTTTGGTTCTTGTGTAAAAAAATTGTTGATCATTTAGTCGTCGAATTTATTGATTGAAGTGGAAGTCACTTGATGGATGAAGAGACGTCGTGTTTTAATACGAAGCAATTGTAAAGGGAATAACTTGATAGGTGAATCCACAGTATCTTATAAGAAACGTGTTATTATCTTATAAGAAATGTGTTTTTAATTTGAAAATCAAAGTCAAAGAGAGACAAATTTTGAAAAATTTTTATAAGAGATATTTTGTAACTTGTCGTACTCTTCGTCGATTATCTTCATTTTGAATGTAAATTTGACAGAGATACCGCGTCCATATTGGTATATTACACGCAACTCTGTAATTTCGTTCGGGTTCTTTAAACTTCCGTTGTTTTTATCTTCAAATCTTTGTCGGAATAGATTATCAGAGCCTGAGCTTCGTTCGGCTCTAATAATGGAGAAAAAGAAAAGAGAGGAAAGAAGGAGGGGGGAAATTAACTGAATTCTTTACGAGCTCAACATCGACGGTGATTTCTAACTTTACGGCAGAAAATACCAATCGTTCCTTTTTATTCATAAGCGCGACACGTAGAATGATGGCCATAGTAGCATAGCAAAGACATTTTTTTCATAAAATAATGGCGGTTATCTCGTCCGCGTGGATTCGACTAACATTCGCCGCGTATTACAACGTATTTTCCATCGTTAGGCTCAACTGAAGTCGTTATGTTGAATTTAAGTGTACATTGTAACTGAAAATCGAGGATAGTTGGTTTAGGATCTTATTTTTTCCCAATTATTTGAAATGGTTAGCGAAGTGAAATCTTAGGGAATTCTTGCATACCTGCTTGAGATCAAACATGAGATAATTTCCAATACTTCTTGCCTCCATCCTATTAACATATTCACTTCTCGAACCGGATTTTCACTGCCCGTGCTGTAACATAAAATCTCTTTTTCATATCGCGAAATCTTTACACGCCTGGTTTAAATTATGATTTAAATCGTCGTCGAAGCTTCTTTTAAATTCCATAAATTTTCAACTCTTTTTTTCTCCCTTTTTAAAATTTTTGTCTCTCAATCTCACTCTCGTTTCAACGAGCGAAAAGTCTTTTCATGTATCGAGATAAATTTCACGCGTCAACATACGGGGTCTTTGACTTTTATCTTCTTTACCTTGGAACTTCTTTCGACGATAGAAAAATTAATTGAAGCAAGACTGACTGAACCTGACAACAAGATTGATTTACTACGTTCAACGTTTGAATCGCAGCGGTATGGATATTTTTACTTCAACGAAAGTGTAACAACTGTATCGTCCGATCTATCCATTGTCCACGGAAGATTAATGTTAGGTCTTGATGGCTTTAGGGGGATTGGTTCAGGAGAGGATAGAGTTAATCATTCATGCAGTATTTATTTATACAATATTTTATCAGACAGTGAGTGCAACACACAGTTCTTTCGATTACTAAACTAATTAACATCGCGGACGTTCTCACGGAGAATGTGATAATTCACACAGTCAATACATACATAAATCGATCTAAAACGTAACATAAATATAAAAGATTCAACACAGTTGGTAACTTTTTTTAAAAAATTAGACGCTCTGATGCATCTTGAAGTTCTCTCGAAACGTTTTTTTTTCTTTTTTTTTTTGAGCAAACCGTGTCGAGAATTTTTGATGCACATCGAAACCATTTTTACTGTCTTGCTGCTCTTACACAATCCACGCACTGTTCCCGTGTTAAATTAGCGAACAAGCGAAGCTTGAGAGATGCGCGGATTGCGTAACGCAATTACTCGGACGAAAGGAGACAGTGATTGCTCAACAAGTGGATAGCGACAGCCATAAAGGCTCCATTTCAAAAGTTCAACGAAAGTCGAGTGTTGCGCACATTCAGAATAGAAAGAGATTATTACACCGTGTATCCAGCGATCGTGCTGGATACCTCACAAACACTTGCGAATTCTCTTGACCGGTTGTTGAAAACGTGTTCGTGAATCTTTGTCAACAAAGTGCTCGAAACATAGGTCCGCATAGATTCTGTGTAATTTGCAACATATGGAGAGTAATATTTGATGAACATTCTGTTGGATACTACAGAATAACTAATTTTGGAAAATTTAATTTTAAGTTATTGGTACGAGTGAGATGGATGAATATATGGGGAGAGCAAGCGTGAAAACAGTCTGTCGGCTGTGAGAGTTTGAAGAGAAAAGAACAAAACGGTCACAGAGAGATTTATACAAAGCGTTATTAGTGCAAAATTTTATTTTTCATATGAAACATAAATATAAAATACATTAAATATTATATATTATAATATATAAATATATTTTATATAAATATAAAAATATAGTATATATATATACATAATTTATAAAATATATATTCATATGTATACATATTTTATAAAATATATATAAATAAATATATACATATATTTTATAAAATATATATAAATAAATATATACATATATTTTATAAAATATATATAAATAAATATATACATATATTTTATAAAATATATATAAATAAATATATACATATATTTTATAAAATATATATAAATAAATATATACATATATTTTATAAAATATATATAAATAAATATATACATATATTTTATAAAATATATATTCTATAGAATAATATATTCTATAAAAGGAGACAAATTTATTTTCTATCCACGAAACATTAATGCCTGCAGAACAAGAAATCTAACATATTCGATAATACTTTGTTTTATGCTTGTATATCATGTACTAAATAACGTAACTCTTTAAAGCAACTTGGACAGGAGAGTGTCTCGTTTCAAACGAAAATGTATCACGGGTCACAACTTGATCGAAAGTAGGTACGCGTAGGAAATGAAACACAGTTGCAACGCAACTTCGAAACATAATTTCGATTAATCAGAAAGAGTGGAAACATAGAAAATTACTTTTCGAAGACGTAAACGGAACAGACTTGCGCTACTTCAGAGGCGCATCTCCGTCAACCGGCGACCTCCGGGCCGGGTTGTTAAGAACTGGCCTTATCAACGCGTGAAAGCGACAGGCGCTCATAAACAAGCCCTTGTTTGCCAACGTTTGTTTAGTGGAAGTGGTTGACAAATGTTTGTCACGCCGCGTGCTAGCCCATTAACATTTCAAAAAGCTCACAAACATTTGCAAGCGTTCTACGTGACCACGTCGAATACTACGTGGCTTTAGTAGTCGAAACGAAGCTCGAGGTGGTCCACTCTCCCTCTCTCTCTCTCTCTCTCTCTCTCTCTCTCTCTCTCTCTCGCGGTGCGGCGTTATTTCCTTACGTAAGCGCTGCACAGTGCACGGGTCGTTGCTTCGTTCTGTATGTCACCGTGTGCCGCGCACGGGAACACTAGTCTGACGGCATTCCATCGTGATTTGCGAACGTTTCGGTAAACGTTCAACACACCCCGTGGTTTCAAGCGGTGTGTTTACGTTTGCTGTTCGTTGCAGAGGTGGAGAAGATGTTGGATGCCTCGTGGCGATAATCGGAATTCCGAAAGGAAACCCGAGTGTGCATGTAATATCGGCCACGATTTCATCGAATCCCACCTCCTCCTCCTCCTCCTTCTCGATCTTCCAGATGTTTTTCCGAGTAAAAAACTCCTGTTCATCTTCGTGAAATGTCCTGTCTGATGTTGTTTTATTCTTCGAGATAGAGTAGCTTGCACGATTTATTTGGCGTTTCGATCGCCGAGGTAACAAACGATATACTGATAGAAAATTAATCGTTCTTCTTCGATTGAATGCACATTTATAGTGTGACAACAGAATAATGTTTATTTATTAAAATAATTGTCCGTTACTAACATTCGTGTATCTGATAAAAACATTAATTACAGTCTTGCAACTTCCATGTACTTGTATTTTTAGATTAGTTTTCAAGCTTGACTGATATTACTATAACAGTCAAGTCTGTATTGTACACGTAATGTATAAATGTTCGAATATTTTTGTGAGCAACGATTATGAAAACAATAAATGACATTCGCGTACTATTCACCTAACATACACAATATGAGCGTGAAAGTTTCCTATGGTTAGTATATTATACATTACATATAGTTGGTTCTAAGGTTTTTAAGCACTTTCTAAAAATTTGTTTCAATCTTCACATGTAACACTTGCACAACCAGCAGTGCGCGAATTGTCGAAGCTGAGATTTCATATTTCAGATGCATTATTCTTCTCTGTGACGTTTCTACCAAATTCCATCTTGGTTGATCATTGATTGGAAGTACAAGACCTTCGACCATAATTTTTTCTCTCGTTTCCTTTTTTTTTTCAAATGAGATAATAACAGAGTTACCCGACGTTGCTTCTACGTGAACATTATTCTAACTGATTTACGCGACACGTGTCGTATTCCAGGGATTTGGACTCTGCTCCGGTTGTTTTCAGGTTAAGGCCAATTACGAGAATATTCTTCGAGCCGTGACGCGTCCGCTCGTGGCAAATAAACGATCGATAGTAACCTCTGTTTCCTTTTACGAGGAGGCATTTAATTTTCACAGAAATTCGTAGAAATACCACAGGCGACAACGCTGAAAATATTACACAGGATGTTGAAACACAGTGCTATTAAAGATCGATTATTTTGTTCGAGAATTGCGTAAATTGAAATTGTACTAATGGAAGTCTTTGCAAGATAATGCTGGCTTGTTCGACATTGCTCAAAAGTTCGTAGAATTCCTTGCGTCTTTCTATATTCTTCTGAAAGATAGGAATATTGTGATTGTATCAAGTGACACTTGTTCTTTCAGAGTGTCAAATTTAGAGTTCCATTAGTTGAGAATACTAAACTAAACTAAAATATTGTCAAGCATGGCAGTCTAAATATAAATAATAAAAAAGGCAAAGGAATTCGAAGAATCTGCAATTACAACGCAGGTATCCCGCTGGGGGTCGTAAAAAAGCCTCGATTTCAGAATTACACCTAAATACAGGTTTTTAGCACTGCCAAAGAATAATGTCAAGAATCAAATGTTCATTTGCTTAACGAGTCCATTATTTTTTTCTTTGAGTTCTCGCGAGTTCTCCAGAATTCTTCAAAACTCTTTCGTGCAGCGTGTAAAAACATTTCTAAATGAAACGTCACGCTGTTCCTGATCTGAATTAACGTGCCTGTAGTGATTATGATAATTTAAATTTACATATACTACAAATAAATAATAACTCCGTAATTAATTTTAGTTGTTTATATAAAAATATTATCAATACAACAAAATATATAATTACTAATAATTTAACGAAGATTAAATAATGGAAGTTAAATAACGAATGAAGAATTTCTACTATGGCTACAATATATATAAGTGTGTGTAAACATTTCCATGGTGATAATAAAATTACTAACAATTTTTAAATATTCTGTTGTTTATATTAAATAAACACACATCTCGACGAAACGATTTAATGAACATAGATATCGTTGATCTAAATACTTCAAAGTAGAGGTCGTTACATACCTACTATTTTGGTGCCACGGTGCTGTCGAATTTGTCCAAACGTTTCGATCCATTTTTACACAGACACGACGCGAAAAGATCTGGATCCAGATCACGGGACTCCTCGCCCAGAATTAAATTCGAGATCCAACTGGAGATCCATCCTATCGCGAAACTGATCACACTTCCCAGTGGGCAATACCACATGTATGAAACGCGGTACAAATAGAAGTATGAATCATCGTCACTTTGCCTGCAACAGGCAAGAGCCGTACAATTGATCACCTCTTAGGAAGCAATTATGCTAAACCGTGACTACGCGGAATAAGTATTAATTCCACGATCGAGGAAAACGTTAGCGATTTGATGTAACAGGTGGTAGCGTTAGAGATTATTCCTTCGCGTGGCGTTGCGACATTTTTAAAATACATCTCCACGTAATTCACTGCGTAATTGATACACGTGAATTGCAAATGTTCTTAGAAACAAGTGTATTTTTGGTCTGTTTATGATTAGTGTAACGAGATCGTTTTCTCTGAACATTAATATTTAACTAATGTTCAACCGTTGATCAGATTAACTCGTGGTAGTTTCCGGAAAGTAGATCATCGACGAAATATTTCGTAAAAGAATTGCACGTTTGCAAATTTGGGGAATTTGAAATGTTACGATATCAAGCGAATTTATAAAAATTACTGGAAGATCGTTTCTCGGAAAGATGGGTCGAAAAATCGTTTCTCAAGAGTGCAGCTCTTTTCGCAAATATTTCACATCGCGCGCTAAACTACAAAAAGAAAAAAAGAAAAAGAAAAAAAAGAAGATCTGGAGTGACGAAAGTCACAAGAGAGGCAGAGATTGCATGTGTGCGAAACGATCGTGAGAAAGAAAAAAAAAAAAAGCGCGCGCGAAACGCGCGGAGAACTGAAAATATGCTTGGTGAATGAATAGCAGGCGAATTCCTCACTGGTATTCGAAATGCAAATTCGACGATTTCTCGTGATCGTAATATGCATCGGCGTAGCCGCAGTCCGAGCCGTTGACGTTCACTTTGTTTGGAATCGGTGGCTTCGGCTGGCCGAAACCGATCCATAAAGAGAAAACGAGGCTAGTCAACAGGCCGACGATGGCTCCTCTCTGGTTTCCCAACCGCGTGAACATGCCCAGCGTGAACATGCCGAACACCGGGCCACCGACCACGCCGAAAATCGTTAAAGCAGCCTGAAGAAGCCCGCCAAGAAATTGACCCATAAACGCCAGTCCTATGCAGGCAATGCCGACCATAACAGCCAGAACCTTGCTGACAATGATCGATCCGGTTGCGGTAATCTCTTTGTCCCTGAAATAATTTTAATTATCCTTATATCTGTTACAATATATGTATTATATTATATTATACATATATTATATATATTATACTTATATATATTATTACAATATATATTATATTATATACATATATATACTATTTTACTATTATAATATATATAATTATAACTATAACTAATATATATATAATTATACTATTATAATATATATTATTATACTATTATAATGTATATAATTATACTATTATAATGTATATAATTATAACTATTATAATATATATAATTATACTATTATTATAATATATTATTATATTATTGTAATATATATTGTAATAGTATATATACATATATATACTATTACAATATATATTATATTATATATACATATATATACTATTATAATATATATTATATTATATTATATTATATTATATTATATTATATATATGTATATATGCTGGTGTGGCAGATCGCACACACACACACACACACACACACACACACACACACACACACACACACACACACACACACACACACACACACACACAC